GATTTGAACCAAGGCTGAGTGTGATTTGAACCAAGGCCCAGAGTCATGGTCCAATGTTCAAACTACTGCACCATGCCGGCTTTCACGCAAGACATATATCTAATTAAATGTGCATGTGCTTTTCCTTCACAAACATCAATTGACCTTGTTCACACCACAAGGTTACAGTCCAAGAAATCATAGGGAAATAGAATGACTGTAAAAACAATGAATAATAAATAAATAAATAAATAAATAAATAAAACAATGTGTAATAAATTTGTAATAAATAAATAAACAAATAAATAAAACAATGTGTAATAAATAAATATCGAGGATAGTTTTGACGGTGTGGTGAATGAATTAGAACCAGACATCCTGAGGAGTGAGGTTGAATGGGCCTTAAGAAGCATTGCTAACAACAAGGCAGCAGGAGACGATGGGATCCCAGCTGAACTGTTTAAAATCTTAAAAGATGATGCTGTCAAGGTGATGCATGCCATATGCCAGCAAATATGGAAAACACAAGAATGGCCATCAGACTGGGAAAAATCAACTTACATCCCCATACCAAAAAAGGGAAATGCGAAAGACTGCTCCAACTTCCGTACAGTGGCCCTTATTTCTCATGCCAGTAAGGTAATGCTCAAGATCCTGCAAGGAAGACTCCAGCAATACATGGAGCGAGAGTTGCCAGATGTTCAAGCTGGGTTTAGAAAAGGCAGAGGAACGAGAGACCAGATTGCCAATATCCGCTGGATAATGGAGAAAGGCAGGAGTTTCAGAAAAACATCTATTTCTGCTTCATTGACTATTCTAAAGCCTTTGACTGTGTGGATCATAATAAATTGTGGCAAGTTCTTGGTGGGATGGGCATACCAAGCCACCTTGTCTCTCTCCTGAGGAATCTGTACAAGGACCAAGTAGCAACAGTCAGAACTGACCACGGAACAACAGACTGGTTCAAGATTGGGAAAGGCATACGGCAAGGCTGCATACTCTCACCCAACCTTTTTAACTTGTATGCAGAACACATCATGCGATGTGCGGGGCTTGATGAATGCAAAGCTGGGGTGAAAATTGCTGGAAGAAACATTAACAACCTCAGATATGCAGATGACACCACTCTGATGGCCGAAAGCGAGGAGGAGCTGAGGAGCCTTCTAATCAAGGTGAAAGAAGAAAGCGCAAAAGCTGGGTTGCAGCTAAACATCAAAAAAACCAAGATTATGGCAACAAGATTGATTGACAACTGGAAAATAGAGGGAGAAAATGTGGAGGCCGTGACAGACTTTGTATTTCTAGGTGCAAAGATTACTGCAGATGCAGACTGTGGCCAGGAAATCAGAAGACGCTTACTTCTTGGGAGGAGAGAGCAATGTCCAATCTCGATAAAATAGTAAAGAGTAGAGACATCAGACTGGCAACAAAGATCCGCCTAGTCAAAGCCATGGTATTCCCTGTAGTCACCTACGGATGTGAGAGCTGGACCTTAGGGAAGGCTGAGCGAAGGAAGATCAATGCTTTCGAGCTGTGGTGTTGGAGGAAAGTTCTGAGAGTGCCTTGGACTGCGAGAAGATCCAACCAGTCCATTCTCCAGGAAATAAAGCCCGACTGCTCATTGGAGGGAAGGATACTAGAGACAAAGTTGAAGTACTTTGGCCACATCATGAGGAGACAGGAAAGCCTAGATAAGACAATTATGCTGGGGAAAGTGGAAGGCAAAAGGAAGAGGGGCCGACCAAGGGCAAGATGGATGGATGGCATCCTTGAAGTGACTGGACTGACCTTGAAGGAGCTGGGGGTGGTGACGGCCGACAGGGAGCTCTGGCGTGGGCTGGTCCATGAGGTCACGAAGAGACGGAGACGACTGAACGAATGAACAACAACAACAATAAATGTGTCCTTAGGGAGCCTCCAGTGGCACAGTGGGTTAAACCGCTGAGCTGCTGAGCTTGTTGACCAAAAGGTCGCAGGTTTGAATTCGGGGAGCGGCGTGAGCTTCCGCTGTCAGTCCCTGTTGACTTTTTAGCTATTAAGAGACCAAAAAGATCTAAGTACATTCTTATCAATATCGATTCTTCATGTCCTCTCAAGTAACACTGTATCTTTTCTGGGGAAACAAGGAAGGCAATATTGGATTCGGCATAAAAAATTGCAAACATATGCTTCAGGTTTACCTGAAACTGTTAATTCTTCCACATTAGTGGCACTTCTGCCAAAAGAGCACTTGTGTATATGAATTCTGGACCAATGCAGTTACAGTGAAAAAGATGTATTACTACTGCCACCTGATGGCAAAAACAAAAACAAAACAAAAACTGCAGACAAAACATGGGGGGGGGGGGGTAGCAGCAGGCCTTTTTCTTCCTCAATTTCACTTTCATCTGAAATATTCTTTTCTGTCAATCATAACTGATGATAGTTCATGGAACTTATAGCATCCAGTTACTGAAACTTGTGAACCAGGAGTTCCTAACACATCTTGTTCTTAGGTTGTTGTAGGTTTTTTTCGGGCTATATGGCCATGTCCTAGAGGCATTCTCTCCTGAAATTTTGCCTGCATCTATAGCAAGCATCCCCAGAGGTAGTGAGGTCTGTTGGAACTAGGAAAATGGGTTTATATATCTGCGGAATGACCAGGGTGGGATAAAGAACTCTTGTCTGTTGGAGCTAGGAGTGAATGTTTCAACTAACCACCTTGATTAGCATTTGATGGCCTGGCAGTTGTTTGGTGTAGCTTGTTGGTGCCTGGGGCTATCTTTTGTTGAGAGGTGATTAGATGTCCCTGATTGTTTCCCCTCTGTTGCTGTGCTGTTGTAATTTTAGAGTTTTTAAATACTGGTAGCCAGATTTTGTTCATTTTCATGGTTTCCTCCTTTCTGTTTAAATTGTCCACATGCTTGTGAATTTCAATGGCTTCTCTGTGTAGTCTGACATGGTGGTTGTTAGAGTGGTCCAGCATTTCTGGGTTCTCAAATAATATGCTGTGTCCATTGAAATAGTATGCTGTGTCCATTGAAACCATGAAAAATAACAAAATTGACACCAATTTTGGACATAATACATCTATCAGTTAAACATAAAAAACCAAGATTATGGCAACAAGAATGATTGACAACTGGGAAATAGAGGGAGAAAACGTGGAGGCCGTGACAGACTTTGTATTTCTAGGTGCAAAGATTTGCACAGTCAGGAATTCTTCCTCATGTTCAGATGGAATCTCCTCTCTTGTAGTTTGAAGCCATTGTTCCGCGTCCTAGTCTCCAGGAAGCAGAAAACAAGCTTGCTCCCTCCTCCCTGTGGCTTCCTCTCACATATTTATACATGGCTATCATATCTCCTTCTCAGCCTTCTCTTCTTCAGGCTAAACATGGCCCAGCTCCTTAAGCCGCTCCTCATAGGGCTTGTTCTCCAGACAATTTAAATTGTTTTTAAATTGTTTTGTTGTTGTTCATTCGTTCAGTCGTCTCCAACTCTTCGTGACCTCATGGACCAGCCCACGCCAGAGCTCCCTGTCGGCCGTCACCACCCCCAGCTCCTTCAAGGTCAGTCCAGTCACTTCAAGGATGCCATCCATCCATCTTGCCCTTGGTGGCCCCTCTTCCTTTTGCCTTCCACTTTCCTCAGCATCATTGTCTTCTCTAGGCTTTGCTGTCTCCTCATGATGTGGCCAAAGTACTTCAACTTTGTCTCTAGTATCCTTCCCTCCAATGAGCAGTCAGGCTTTATTTCCTGAAGGATGGACTGGTTGGATCTTCTCGCAGTCCAAGGCACTCTCAGAACTTTCCTCCAACACCACAGCTCAAAAGCATCGATCTTCCTTCGCTCAGCCTTCCCTAAGGTCCAGCTCTCACATCCGTAGGTGACTACAGGGAATACCATGGCTTTGACTAGGCGGATCTTTGTTGCCAGTCTGATGTCTCTACTCTTTACTATTTTGAGACTGGACATTGCTCTCCTCCCAAGAAGTAAGCGTCTTCTGATTTCCTGGCCACAGTCTGCATCTGCAGTAATCTTTGCACCTAGAAATACAAAGTCTGTCACGGCCTCCACATTTTCTCCCACTATTTTCCAGTTGTCAATCATTCTTGTTGCCATAATCTTGGTTTTTTTTTATGTTTAGCTGCAACCCGGCTTTTGTGCTTTCTTCTTTCACCTTGATTAGAAGGCTCCTCAGCTCCTCCTCGCTTTCGGCCATCAGAGTGGTGTCATCTGCATCTCTGAGGTTGTTAATGTTTCTTCCAGCAATTTTCACCCCAGCTTTGCATTCATCCAGCCCCGCACATCGCATGATGTGTTCTGCATACAAGTTAAAAAGGTTGGGTGAGAGTATGCAGCCTTGCCGTACGCCTTTCCCAATCTTGAACCAGTCTGTTGTTCCGTGGTCAGTTCTTACTGTTGCTACTTGGTCCTTGTACAGATTCCTCAGGAGAGAGACAAGGGGGCTTGGGATGCCCATCCCACCAAGAACTTGCCACAATTTATTATGATCCACACAGTCAAAGGCTTTAGAATAGTCAATGAAGCAGAAATAGATGTTTTTCTGAAACTCCCTGCCTTTCTCCATTATCCAGCGGATATTGGCAATCTGGTCTCTCGTTCCTCTGCCTTTTCTAAACCCAGCTTGCACATCTGGTAACTCTCGTTCCATGTATTGCTGGAGTCTTGTATAAATATGTGAGAGGAAGCCACGGGGAGGAGGGAGCAAGCTTGTTTTCTGCTTCCCTGGAGACTAGGACGCGGAACAATGGCTTCAAACTACAAGAAAGGAGATTCTATATGCCTTTATATTCTGGGTGATATGGCTGTGAAGAAAGGCCTTCCCTCTCTTCCCTTCGACCTTTCCCTTTTCCCCCACTGAGAGAATGGAACATGAGGACCTTTTGCTCCGTGAAGCCACTTAAAACAATTGAAGTAAACCGAGGGGAAAGTGGGGGCATCTACACTGTAGAATGAACACAATTTGACATAACTTTAACTACTCATTCGACCTCCTTCCCAGCCTTGGCCCGCTTTACCCTTTCAGCTCCCACGACGCTCTTGCCGCCTTTCCCTCAGCGTCCTGCGTTCCCATGGAAACCGACGCTCTGCTTCCGCCTCTTCCCGCCTCTTCCGCCTCCTTTCTTCTTATTGGCTGTCCCTTCCGCCCGCATCGTACGAAAACATCCTCTCTGCCCAGTCTCTGTTGACGCTCTGCATTCTGGGAGTTGTCGTTCAAGACTCTCAGAGAAACTGAGTGTGAACCACATTTCCCAGCAGCCACTTGGCCATGGCCAGGCTAGTGTAGTGCCTGAAGGCCCTACAGGCCCTAGCTTTAGACATTATCTGAAACCAGGGGGTGGGCTTGTCTCTCATGTAAGGAGCCAAAGAGTCTACAAAGTCTTGGGCTGTAGAACCATCTATTTTTGTGGAAGGAGAAGCTGCCTTGGTCGACTAAGCCCAGGCTCAGGTGGGGCATGGTGATGCTGCCTCTCTTGCCCAGATATTGGCACTTGGCAGCTGGGATACCAGCAAGGAACTGGTTTCTGACTGGTGGAGGAGGCCTTCCTAGGCAGGAAACATGGAGTGGCACCTGCCAACTAATACCTCGCTTGCTCTCAACCAGCCCTGGCAGCAGAAGTCAAGATCCCTCTCAACCCAAAGAGCCCAGGCCGGAGAGCAGGGAAGCCCTCAAGGAGTGGGCCCTGGCTGTGTGCCCCTTTGGCTCACTGAAGGCCCGCCTCCCTTGCCACATCACTCTGTGCCCCCTGGACCCCCACAAGCACCCTGATGGAGACAGGGTTTTCGTGACCGTGAAAGGGGCCAACGCCGAGATGCACCACCCAAGATCAAGCCTGGATTTTTTGCAGGTGAAATACGACGAGGGACTTAAGCAAGTGAGCATCATCTCAGGTGGCGTGGACAGTGCTGCCTCGGTGGATGTGAGAATGCCCATGAAATTTGGTACGTGAATGACTTTTACAGTATATATATATATATATATTCACCCTTCTCACCCCGCAGGGGACTCAGGGCAGATTACAATGTACATATACATGGCAAACATTCAATGCCATAGACATACAACATATATAGACAGACACACAGAGGCTATTTAACATTCCAGCTTTCATGAGGGTATTCTGGCCACCAGGGGAACTGTTGCTTCACTGTCCATTTGTGACACTGATGAAGTACTTCCTCATTCTTTGCACGCTTGCTGGAAATTGTTATGGCGTCGTAAATTAGTTAAATTAGCCTCCCCACATAAGCGGTACCTAAATTTCCTACTTGACAGATGCAACTGTCTTTCGGGCTGCAAAGGTCGACAGCAAACTACAAAAATTGGTTGGAAGCTCACTCTGACCCGGGCTGGCTTCGAACTCATGAACTTTCGTTCAGTAGTGATCTTAATGCAGCTGACTCCCAGCCAGCTGTGCCACAGTCTCAGTGATTCCATAGCAGTTTTCACAAATAAGATATCAAAACAATAATAAAAACTAATATGCAGAAGAAAAACAATATACTTAGCAAGATTTTTGAAAACCAGGTTTTGGGAGATGAAGAATGACTTTGATTGTTACATAAAAAGAGCACCATTTGGCCATGAGAAGACCAGAAGACTTTTCAATGACTTTGAAGCATAGGTTCTTTTTATTGCAATTTCCAGTCTGAGAAGGTATATCAGTTTACAGAAAACATTTAGACAAAGAATGACATTGGACACACAGACATATAGATTCTGTGCAACTACATTGGATTTACAATTATTATTATTATTATTATTATTATTATTATTATTATTAACTTTATTTGTACCCCGCTAACATCTCCCGAAGGACTCTGTGCGGCTTACAAAAGCCAAGGCCCTCAATAAACAACAGCATAACAAAAACAACAATAAAACTCAAAAAGCAAACCAATAAACATTAAAGCAATAAAAGTAAACATTAAACAATAACATCATGACACATTTAAAAACTAAGGGCCGGGCCAAATGCAATGAATAAGATTAAAAGTGCTGGACATGACAGGTGAAATGTAAGGATTTTAGAGTAGGTGCGATGTGCAGACAATCTTAAATCTCTAATAAAGTGCATTTGGGACATGATGCTGGGAGTTTCCTGTTCTGGAAAGGCACACTGGAACAGCCAGGTCTTCAAGCTCTTCCTAAAGACTGCCAACATTGGGGCTTGTCTGATGTTCTTGGGGAGAGAGTTCCAGAGTCGGGGGGCTACCACAGAGAAGGCCCTGTCCCTCATCCCCACCAAATGCGCTTGCGACGCAGGTGGAATCGTGAGCAGGGCCTCTCCAGATGAACGGAGGGATTGTGTAGGTTCATATACGGAGATGCGGTCACAAACAAAGTGGAATTATAATTTCACTCAACAAAGTGGAATTATAATTTCACTCAACAAAGTGGAATTATAATTTCACTCAACATTCACACACATGTGCATGCATTCATCCACATCCATCCAAAATATTACCATATCATTTTCTCCCTCCTTGGAGAAGCACCTCTTAGGCCAGTCCCTGCTTTCCTGAAGCCTGCCAACGCATAGTTCCATAACTTCGATAATGCCAAAACTTTAAAACGCCTAAATTCCCTAAGCACAATGCCAAGAACCAGATCTCTGTTTTCCATACAGCAGAACCTGACTCCCTGCACACAATCTAAGACCCCAAAAGCGCACTTCTTCTTCTTCCCTTGAGAAAGAAGTCCCAAAGTGACCAGATTACTCCCGTGCAGATCTGCCACTATCTGAATACACCATCTCTCTCCTTCCCATGGAGTAGAGCATGGCAGGTGAACAGCATCTCTGTCTGTCACAATTTGAGCATTATTAGACTGAGTCTTTTATAGGAATATTCTGTTGATGTAGTCCCAAAGTTGTAAATTAATGATAGACGTCTTCCATCCTGGATCCATCTCAGTGTAGATTTTCTTGATTGGTGTTAACAAACACAATGCTTGTGTTGACTTTCTTCTTAACATAAGGAAGGTTACAAACATTTCCTTTATCACTGTCCCGTTCTTATCAGGGTTTCTCATTAGCAAGTCCAGCAAGCAGATATTAGTCATTGCAGGCCTTAATATCATACTGGTGTTTCCAAAATACATCCATCCATCCCTCCATTCTTCCATTCATTCCCAGACATCCTTATATCAAATCTGCACATTGAATTTTTTATTACATGTGCCGGAAGAGAGTGTCCAAAGACCCAGAAGCAGAGCTTTCCTACCATTTGGGGGAATACATCCTTTCACGACACAGTAATTAAGTTTTAATATTAATAGTAATAATAATAATAATAATAATAATAAACTTGGCAGGGGGTTGGACTGGATGGCCCATGAGGTCTCTTCCAACTCTTTGATTCTATGATTCTATGATTTGTTATGTTTTGTGTTATATTGTGTGTACTGTACTGATGGGTGTGGCCTCATATAAGCCGCACCGAGTCCCCCTGGGGGAGATGGAGTGGGGTATAAATAAAGTATTATTATTATTATTATTATTATTATTATTATTATTATTATTATTAAGACCATAGACTTCCTGTTGCTCATTAATGTTGTGAATGTGGTATGGTATTTCCTTTATTATTTGTAGCTTTGCTAACTGAAATAACACATTTATTGTGCTGAATTCCATTTATCTTGCAATTTGATATTTATTTTAGACTTGGATATCAAGACATCAGGAAATGGCTGTGTAAAAGTTGAGAAAATTGAATGTGATAGCTGCAGAATAGAAACAGAGAGGGGAACGAGCGTTCTTCAATCAGTGAAGGTACTGAAGAAACATATTTCTTTTGCTGCCTTACTTTCCTTTTTAATAAGTCCTATGTTGTTATTATTATTATTATTATTATTATTATTATTATTATGTTTATTATGTTTATTTATACCCCTTTTTATCTCCCCAAAGGGGACTCATTATGATTGTGAATTATGATTATTCACTTGCATATGCAGTGAATAATGACTTAAAACCCTTTAGAATATTTGCATTTTTCTGGATACTGTTACGTTCTATTTCAGCCCTGCAATTACAGAAAAGGCTTTAGAATCAGAGACTTTAATATTATTCTGTATTGGTTCGGACAACGTCAACTGATATCCACGGAAATATAATCCTAATATATAAATGAGTTAGTTTATTCAGTTCAGCCTTTTCTGTGGCAAAACCTCTTTCCAAAAAGGTTCATACTAGTGCCTATAGTTTACTATCGTTTCCGTTTATTGGCAGTGACTCTCCAAAGACTTGGAGATACCAAATTTTCAGGAAGTCCACCTATGGTAGTACCTTCATTGTCTACACCAGTGGTTTCCAGCCTGTGGTCAGGGGACCACCAGTGGTCTGCAAGAACTAAAATATGGTCTGTGGCCTCACTGTTACTACACCATTGCAACGAGAGCAACTGGTCTCGCAAAACGCTGTGCCATAGCTTATTAAATATGGTTTTCTGTGGGCGAGCAGATGATGACTACTGGATGGCATCTGTTCTGTATCAGAAACTCTATCCAATGCAATTTTCTGAATCCGCACCCCAAATAATCAAATTGAATCTAAAGTTGACCAAAAACTGATTTGTAACCCTTTTGGTACTAATGTTGGATAGTAATCCCTGGTCTAGTGGTTCCTGGTCAAAAAAAGGTTGGAAACTACTGCTCTATACTCTAATGTGTCTGGTTCGCCGATTTTTGTCTAGGAAGGAGCATGTGACTTGATGTATACTTTTGAGCATGGAAATGCAATGGGGGTTTCCTGTTGGGTTTAGCTTGCCATGCAGGAAGCATCACATTCTAGAGGGGTGATTGAGAGATCCAAATGAGTCTGAATAGAAATAGAAAAGGGGGAGAGAGAATAAGAAGGTTAACTCTCTTACCATATTTATATTTTCCTTTCAGAGTCAGAAACTTGACATCCAGGCCAAAGGAGGGAAAGTTATCTGCTTGGGAACAATTCAGGGAAACACTGATATTCATGTGACACAAGAAAGTGTAAGCAATATTTTTCTTTAATGTAAGGATTTGACTGCCTCCCCATCTGGTTTCTTCTAGGGACCTCATCATATTGAGATCCAGAAGCTGAGGGACAGCGGTGGAAACCATGGAGCACTATAATGCTTAGTGCATAAGATGTTTTGTCTTATGTCTGTTATAACAGGCTGTACTTTTTATTTAATTTTAGTTTGTTAAGTTATAATTCTAATTTATATATTGGGTTGTATAAATTTTGTTAGCATGGATGTATTGTTGTATTCGGTCATTGAATATTTGCCTTTTAAGTTTGGAATCTGCCTTGAGTCCCTTTGGGGAGATAGAGCTGAATATAAATAAAGTTTTTTTAAATTATTATCTATATAAATAAAAATGTAATGTTCGTTTGTGGTATTCACAGAACTCAAAAACCACTGGGGCAACTGGCACCAAATTTGGACACGACCTAACAACCCAATGTATGTTCTCCACTAAAAAAAACACGAAAACAAAAAGCAGAAAGGACTTATGAACTGCATGTCCACAAAGGAGAAACTGCATGTCTACAAAGAGAACCATGGCCACACCCCCTCCTCCTCCTCGCAGGGAAACAGCTGGCTGTTAAAGCATGAGGAGCCAGGCGCGCGTGCATGCCCCCCCCCCACACACAATTTTTTTACTCATACAAATGGTAGATACAGGTCGAGATGGAAGAAAGAAGAAGATAAATAGGAAGGGAAAGAAAAAGAGGAAAGGAAGGAGAGAAAGAGGGAAGGCAGGTTGGCTACAACAACACGTGACGGGTACAGCTAGTTATTATTATTATTATTGTGCCCTTAGCATTGGTGATCATGGGATCCCTTCCCACAATGTTTCCTCGCTGTTCCTGTCTTCCTCCCGCATCCTTCCTAGCTTCTTATATGCAGATACCCGACTCCTGTGGGCTCTGCTTCTTGGCACCGTTGTCACTCTGCCAACACGAAATCCCGCCGAAAGTAACCTTGTGTCATTTTATGGGCTCCACAGTGCACAGAAAAGTGCAGAAAAGACTCAATTTTTAGTCATTGTAGTTTGAGTGCCTGAGCCTTGGACTGCGAGAAGATCCAACCAGTCCATCCTCCAGGAAATAAAGCCCGATTGCTCATTGGAGAGAAGGATACTAGAGACAAAATTGAAGTACTTTGGCCACATCATGAGGAGACAGCAAAGCCTAGAGAAGACAATTATGCTGGGGAAAGTGGAAGGTAAAAGGAAGAGGGGCCGACTAAGGGCAAGATGGATGGATGGCATCCTTGAAGTGACTGGTCTGACCTTGAAGGAGCTGGGGGTGCCGACGGCCGACAGGGAGCTCTGGCGTGGGCTGGTCCGTGAGGTCACGAAGAGTCGGAGACGACTGAACGAATGAACAACAAGTCTGTAGGCACTATTGTGTGAAAGCTATCAGATGACTATACACTGCAATTATACAATAAAATACAAAACTTTATTACGGTCACTGACCAGCACAAAGAGGAGCACAAGCGCCCTGGGAATTACAGCACTCTGGGATTTTTAAAATCCTGTACATTAGATTGATTATTTTATTTCAGGGTATTTTTGTTGATTTTTAATTTTTCATGCAATTATGAATTTTAGCCCAGAAATCAAAAGTATACATTGTGCTATTTTGAAATTGCTGCCTGTGAATTGCATGCATAAAGAGTGAAAATTCACAAGAGAGCACAGACTCAGCTTGTTACATTTGCTGAATTCGGATTTAATGTGCAAACTTAGGCACATTGCCCCAAAATGCTGAGCCATATATGTATGCTACAGACAAGAATGCATGCTAATTATTTTACTATCAACTCAGTATTCCAAGATTGTAAATGCAAGAACATTAAAAGATTTGTGTGTAAGCGATCCATTCCCTTTGCAGAACTAAGGATCACTCCTTTGACTGAACTTTAGTTCCAACTTGAAGTACTAGGTATTTTCCAGAAGATGGTGCCTTTGGCTTGTTTGCTTTCTCTTTGGGTAGCCTAGTTTTATAGAATTTATTGTTAAGATCTATCATGTAACCCTGAGTGTAGCAGCACCAAGAGGAATAAATATCTCAAAAGTGGGCAGCTGAGCATAATCCCATACATTAAAAGATCTATAAGAGGAGAACAGTATGACAAGTGTCTTTAGTTTATGGCTGGCAGGACTATTCATTCTAAATAGTTCCTTGGGAATAATTTAAGGTGAAATTGGAAGAGCATGGGATGATCTGCAGTCTCATTTGTTTGAATTGATTCAACAGAACAGACAGCAGAACTTCCACTTCATCATCCTGGGGATGATTTCAATATTGTGTGGCATTTAGGTTTTTAGGTGGACAAACATGACAGAAAATATTGTGCTCCAATAAATGTCATTGTTTTCTCTGATAAACAAGTACCAAAGATATTTTGATTTTTTTTAATGAAGATGACAAAAATCAGAATATTTATTATAAACACTAGCTGGCCCCTGCCACGCGTTGCTGTGGCCCAGTCTGTGTATATGTGTTTTGTGTGTATATATATGTGTATATTTGTATATATGTGGTTTTGTGCATGCATTGTAATGTATTTTTTATTTTTTGGCTTTTAAAGTCTCTTCCACTGTGTTTTTCAGTGTTTTTATGAGTGATGGTCACTCATTGGCCTGATCGGTGAATTGTGTCCAAATTTGGTGTCAATTCACCCAGTGGTTTTTGAGGTATGTTAATCCCACAAATGAACATTAGATTTTTATTTATTTACTAGCCGTTCCCTGCCACGCATTGCTGTGGCCTAGACAGGTGATCTAGGAAATAAAGTAATGAGAAAGTGTTGATTTCTAATATATGTAATTTCTTTATGCTTGTTGGGTAAACAGTATTTCTTTGCCAGTGTTGATGTCGAGATTGTCTGGTTTGCCTACTCTGGAACATTCAACATATAACTGTCCTTCTTTAGGAGTCCCTTTCAAATCTATGATACTATATCTCTCTGTGTGTGAATCATATATATCTAAGTATCTATATCTATGGTTGGATGGCTGTTTGTCAGGAGGGCTTTGTTTACATTTTCTTGCCCCAGTGAAGGAAGTTGGACTGGATGGCCTTAAGTATTTTCTGTTGGTCATGGGGGTTCTGTGTGGGAAATTTGCCCCAATTCTGTCATTCGTGGGCTTCAGAATGCTCTTTGACTGTTGGTGAACTATAAATCTAAGTAATTACAACTCCCAAATGTCAAGGTCTATTTCCCCCAAACTCCATCTGCGTTATTATTTGGGCATTTTGAGTATCAGTGCCAAGTTTGGTCCAGATCCATCATTGTTTGGTCCATAGTGCTCTCTGGATGTAGGTAAACTACAACTCCCAAACTCAAGGTCAATGCCCACCAAACCTTTCTAGTGTTTTCTGTTGGTCATAGGAGTCCTGTGTGCTACGTTTCAAATCCATCGTTGGTGGAGTTCAGAATGCTTTTTGATTGTAAGTAAACTATAAATCCCAGCAACTACAACTCCCAAATGACAAAATCATTTTTTTTAAGTGATACTCACTCCTTGGGTTAGTAGGTGTCTTGTGGCCAAATTTGGCCGTAATTTGTCCAGTGTTTTTTTGAGTTATGTTAATCCCACAAACGAACATTACATTTTTATTGATATAGATAGTAATAATTAATCTTGCAATGACTCTTGGGACAGAATATTTTGCATTATGTTCATATGAAAACTGTATGCAACTTAGTTGAAACCATCTGAGTAATTAGTATGGATTTACAGCTGTCGAATTAGGCATGAATCCCAGCATGTTATTGCACTTATCTCCCAAGTACAATAACAGGGCATCCAATGTTTGGGGAATGTGAAGTTTCCTTTGCTTTCTCATAGAGCAATTTCTGTTAACAATTGGGCTGCATTATAACTGCCATGTGGGCTTTTTTGTCAGCTAAAGTCATCATTATGTAGTTAAGACTTTGTCAGCTTTTCCAGTGTAAACCAAGACTGTCAGAGGTTTATGGTTCTGTAGTCTAATTCCCCTGGTACTGAAATTGGACACTTTCGGCTTCAACCACTAAAGCAGAGTTCCAAAACAAGGGGGAAGGGGCAAGAGAAAAATGAGGATAAGCAGCTTTAAAGTTGATTTGCTGAAAATTGATCTCATTTGAAGTACTTCAGCTTTAGATTACCACTAGCCATCCCCTGCCACACGTTGCTGTGGCCCAGTCTGGTGATCTGGAAAATAAACTAACGAGAAAGTGTTGGTTTCTAATATTTGTAATTTCTTTATGCTTGTGGGTAAACAGTATTTCTTGCTGTTTCTTTGCAGTGTTGATGTGGAGATTGTCTGCTTTGCCTACTCTGGAACATGGAACATATTATTGTCCTTCTTTAGAGGTCCCTTTCAAATATATGATACTATATCTCTGTGTGTGTGAATCATATATAACTATCTATATCTATAGCTGGATAGATCTTTGTCAGGAGGGCTTTGCTTACGTTTTCTTGCCCTTTTGAAGGAAGATGGACTGGATGGCCTTAAGTATTTTCTATTGGTCATCAAGGTTCTGTGTGGGAAGTTTGCCCCAATTCTGTCGTTGGTGGGGTTCAGAATGCTCTTTGATTGTAGGTGAACTATAATTCCCAAATGTCAGGGTCTATTTCCCTCAAACTCCATCTGTGTTCATATTTGGGCATGTGGAATATTTGTGCCAAATTTGGTCCAGATCCATCATTGCATGAGTCCACAGTGCTCTCTGGATGTAGGTGAACTACAACTCCCAAACTCAAGGTCAATGCCAACCAAACCCTTCTGGTGTTTTCTGTTGGTCATGGGAGTCCTTTGTGCTAAGTTTGGCCCAATTTCATCATTGGTGGAGCTTAGAATCATCAAAGGTGCAATGGAAGAGCCAGGTTTTAAGATTCTTCTTAAAACTTTCTAGGGTGGGGGTTTGCCTAATCTCGCCAGGTACTATATTCCACAGTCGGGGGACCATTGAGGAGAAAGCTCTCTCCTTTGTATAAGTTGA